CATCCCCCTGATCATTTTCATGGCCCTCCTCTGGACCCGGTCCAACAGGTCTATGTCTTGTGCTGAGGGTTCCAGAGCTGGACATAGTAGTCCAGGTGGGGTCTCACCAGAGCAGAGGGGCAGAATCACCTCCCTCGACCTGCTGGCCACGCTTCTTTTGATGCAGCCCAGGATACGGTTGGCCTTCTGGGCTGCAAGTGCACATTGTGGGCTTTTCATCCACCAGTACCCCCAAGTCCTTCTCGGCAGGGCTGCTTTCAATCCCTTCATCTCCCAGCCTCTGTTGATACCAGGGGTTGCCCCGACACAGGTGCAGGACCCTGCACTTGGCCTTGTTGAACCTCATGAGGTTCACACAGGCCCATTTCTTGAGCTTGTCCAGGTGCCTCTGGATGGCATCCTGTCCCTCAGGCGTGTCAGCGGCACCCCTCAGCTTGCTGTCATCTGCAAACTTGCTGAGGGTGCACTCGATCCCACTGTCTATGTCATTGATGAAGATATTAAACAGTACTGGTCCCACAGTACTGGTCCCAGTATGGACCCCTGCGGGACACCACTTGTCACTATTTGGACATTGAGCCATTGACCACTACCCTCTGGATGCGACCATCCAACCAATTCCTCATCCACCGGACAGTCCACCCATCAAATCCATATCTCTCCAGTTTAGACAGAAGGATGTTGTGGGGGACCATGTCAAAGGCCTTACAGAGGTCCAGATAGACGACATCTGTTGCGTAGTCACTCCATCGTAGAAGGCCAATGCGTAGAAGTTGATGCTCTGTCATGGAGTATCTCCAGTAACTACAGTTTAGCCCAAATCCCAAGCTATTCTCATCTTCAGAGGCACAAGAAGAAATGTTCTTAGCACCTTCTGTTTTAAGAGCTGAGACGTGTAGTGACTGAAGAGCTAAGCAGTGTGCTTCACTTGCAGCAATGGTAGAGATGACAATATGCGGTCACCAAAGCCTCATCCCACCTCAAAGCGGGGAATAACAAAAACTACTAGATCTGATCCAGATCCATTTGTGTCAGTGGGAGTTTTCTAGGGCTGCATGCTGCCACCATCTGGTTGAGCTGCCACCACACAGCAATACAATTTCTTAGAGCAAAGCTGCATTGGTTCTTGTGGATGTGGGAAGTCACGGTTACCAACCCCATAATCTTTTATAGGTGCCTTTGATATCCCTATTTTGCTTTCTATCAACTTCAGCAGTTGGCCGAGACACCAGGTGCAGTTATGTCTTTTTGTATGTGGAAGTTACAACTAGATAAATATTACATGTAAGAGTAGAAAGACATGTATGTATGTGCTTAGACTTCTCTTATATATTGTTTCTCTATGTGATCAACAGGAGGACACTGTCCTCGCTTGGATCTTCAGCATATTTATGGAAGCCCCCAAGTCGCAGTTCCAGCATGAGCAGTTTAGTCAGCAATTATTTGCAGGTAAGCAAATTACAAATAAATGTTTATGTGGCATGGTAGGTCTTTAATTAATGGCATAGTTCCAGAGAGGTTGGTAGTTTTATGGTGATTATGACTTTTATAATGGTAAACTACAAAAAGAGTTCTTAATTAAAAGTAAAGGGAATTGTCCAGTAGCTGATTCAACTGAACATGCAAATCTCATAGAGGAAAAAAAAATACATTCAGAAGGCTGCCTGCAGATAGGTATGTTTTCATTTATCTTTTGTGAAAACAAGCCCCATTTCCTATAAGTTGGTATTTTATAGTGCTGTGAATGCAACATACGTCACTGTGCGTAAAGAACCTGAACTTGCTCTCATTTGAGCACACCATTTAAATGCATGTTAAACTTTCTGGTTTTCCCCTTCTGTTCATTTAGGCCCAAGAGTTTCCCTTCAGCCCTGATGCAAATAGTTCACTAAATGTTGAACACCTTGAGGGCTTTGAAGAGATGCGTGTAGAACTTGACCAGGCTGAGCTGAGGCAGAGGGAACTTCAAGATCGTATTCACCAGCTAGAAATGGAAAACCAGGAGCTACAGGCAGCTGTCAGCCTTCAGAAAGAACAAGTACAGGTAGAAAAGGAGAAGAGCAATAACTACAGCGAGGAGAACTCCCGGCTGACAAAGATGATCACAGAGTTACAGAAGCAGTGTGAGGTCTCGCACTCCACTCAGAGCACTGTTCATGACCTGCACAAGTGCCTGCAGTCACTGGAACTGAATGCAGTGGAGCAGCAGAAGGAATATTCAACAAAGCTGGAGCAGCTGGTGACCAGCAAGGAATACTGTGCCTCAGAACTGCAGGTGTTGAATCAGGAGCTGGAGGCCTCTAGGGCTTTGGTTGCTATGAAGAATCTTTGCATCAATGAGCTCAAAGCCAAGCTGAGTTCCACAGAACAGAAGAACCTCAACCTCCTTGAGAAAGTTGATGCTGCTTTGGAGGAAAAGGGAGAGCAAGCCACAGCCCACTGTGACTCTGCCCTACAGATACGTGCACTGTTAGAGAAGCTTCAGGAGACAGAAAAGGAAAAGGCAGATATGCAAAGACTCAGTGACGAACATGTATCTCAGCTGAAAGCAGCAAGGGAGGAGCTGCAGCTGAAAGAAGAGGCACAGAAGGAACTGGAATCCAGATACAATCGCCTTACTGCTGACTCCAAAGAAGAGAGTGAAAAGCTGCTTGGGAGCCTGGAAACCATGGCAAAGGAAATGGATGCACTTCAGAAGGCCCTGACCCTGAAAGGAAAGGAGATGGCTGAGCTCCAGACCCAGGTAATGGGGTCGCTGGCTCAGGTGGGGTCACTGGAAAAAAATCTTGAGGAAGCAAGGAAAGGAAAAGAGAAACTTGAGGAGGAGTATGGTAGGAGGGAAGGAGCACTGAAGCAGGAAGCCCACTCGCAAGCAGAGCAACTTGAACTACAGGAGGGTCACTTAACAAAGGTGAGTCAGACTGTGTGTAGCCTTGAGGAGCAAAACCGGAAACTCTTGTCTGAGAAAGAGCATCTCAGACAGAAAGTCAAGGAGCTGGAGGAACAGATGGAGCAGCAAAACTCTGCAGCGAGCGAAATGGGTGAGGAGAGCAGGAAGCTGAAAGCAGAGAATGCGAATTTGCAGCAGTCCAAGAAGAAGATGGAAGGGAAGCTGAAAAATCTGGAAGCTTCTAAAGCTTCCCTGGAAGCTGAGGTAGCCAGGCTGAGAGCCTCTGAGAAACAGCTTCAGAGTGAGATAGATGATGCCCTGGTGTCAGTTGATGAAAAAGAGAAGAAGCTCCGGGTTGAGAACAAACAGCTGGATGAAGACTTGCAGAATGCCAGGAGGCAAAGCCAAATTCTGGAGGAGAGATTAGACGCTCTGCACTCAGACTATGAAGAACTAAAGCAAAGAGAAGAGACCACCAAGGAGTCTTATGCCTCACTTGAAGCACAGCTGAAGAGTGCCAAACAGCATAGTTTAGAAACGGAAAAAAGCTTAGGCACCTTGAAGGAAAGCAAAGAGTGTCTCCAGTCACAGCTCACAGAGAAGGAAGTAGAACTGCAAGGCATGGAGAGCCAGTGTGAGCAGCTAAGAGCAGAAGCTGAAAGACATAGGAAGAAAGCAGAGACTCTTGAGGTAGAAAAGCTCAGTGTTGAAAAGACATGCCTTCATCAGACAAAGCTTATTGAATCCCTCACATCAGAAAAGGAATCAGTGGAAAAACACCAACTACAGCAGGCGGCTTCCCTGGAGAAGGAGGCAAAAGAGCTGGCCTCCAGACTAACCATAAGTGAAGAGCAGTTGGAGGTCAACCGAGGTGAAGTGTCTAGGCTGCAAGCAGAAGTCCTCGACCTGCGAGTCAAGCTTCAGCAGACCACTGATGAGAGAGAGCAGATGAGAGGTGAGCTGGCAATCACAGAGACTGTCTTGGGTGAACAGAAGGTGCTTGTCCAGCAGCTGAAAGAGCAAAGTGAGTCACTCAACAGAAACCATGTGCAAGAAATGGTGCAGTTTAAAGAAAGAGAAGAAGTGCTGAAAAAAGAGCAGGAGACAGCAGCCCATGAAAAAGCTGAGCTGGAAAATAATTTGCTGAACCTGAAGGAAGAACTATTCAAGGTTAAGCAGTACCTGGAAGTTGCTAGAATGGAAAATGAAGAAAACAAAGATCTCCTCCACAGGACCAACACGGATATGGCTGAACTTGGTATTCAGATTTGTGCCTTGACCTCTGAAAAGGTGGATGCAGAAGAGCAGTTAGCCCAGGCCACAGAAAGGCTCAAAGAACTGGAAGAACAGGCAGCAGAGCAACAGGAAAAGCTGAAGCTTGACATCTCTAATCTCAGACAGGAGAACAAGAGCCTGCAAGAGAAATTAGAAGAGGCTCAAATATGTGCCGCAGCTGTCCCAAGTCTGCAATGGCAGCTGGAGACAGTAAAGAAACAGGCACAGAGTTTCCAAGAGACCAGCCAAGAAGAGCTGTCTGCAATAAAATTTCAAATGAGCACAGAGATTCTAAATTATCAGACAAAATTCAAGGTAAATTAATGTGATTTAATGTGCACAGCTGAGGGAGCTGTGCAGGATTTCCCCTGCTTTACCGCCTGCTGCAGCAATTACTGCGTGGAATCCCAAGGTTTGTGTTGGTCAGGCTCTGAGACTAGCACACAACTAGCTTTAGCCTGGGATTCTGAAAATGCCTCTACACTCATGACCTAGGCCTATTTGAGGTAAAATAGTTCTTCAGAGTTTTTTGGAGATGTATATTGTGGCCATCCAAGCACAGTGGAGAGGCCATGTGATACGGAAAAGCCAGCCAGTAATGGAGAGGGTGATGATTTCTTATGTTGGCACTGAAGGTGGCGTCTTCTGTAACTATTCCCTCTGGTCACAGCTGTCATTTTTTTCTTTTTTGGTAGGAACATTGCAAGACCTGTTCGACCTGTTCCCCACACCCTAACACTACTACTCCTTAAAACCAGTTTTGATGAAAGCAAACTTAGACTGAGACCAGATACTTTTGCAGTTAATTCCCTCATGTATTTTTGCTTTCAACCTCTCAAGGTAGCAGCCAAGAAGATCAAAGTTTTGTTTCCAGAAAAATGTGAGTCAGCCCTGTATATGTGAAACAGCACACCTAAAGGCTGAAGATTTTGTTGTGTTTGTTCTGTCATTCTGAGATAATGTCTAAGACTGGCAGTTGATCAGAGGCTTATGCCACTGGTATCCAGAAATCCCACGAGTTTGAGAAAATAGCGTACATTCATTTATGTTTCGTTTTCATAAAGGCTTCTTAAACTTCACTCTTTTGAGCCAAAGCAATTCGCAAGCTGGGCCTTCTTTTTGTTGAGAACTGTAACAGCCCATAGCAAGTAACAGTAAAACACAGCTGGTTTGCCACCACAGAGGGGAGTTTCCTTGAATCCATGAGTTGAGGGTCTCTTTAGCTGTTTTTCACGAGCCTGACAGTAGTGCTGCATTTATCCCATACATGGCAGTAAAAGCACTCGTGATTCACAATTGGGAATCTCGTAGATGAAGGGGTGGCCGCTAGAGGAATGCTAACTCCTGGCTCAATCTCTCTGCTAGGCTGTCAGTGAAGAGTGTGGGAAAGTAAGAGAGCAACTTGAGGAGCAGAAGCGACAACAGCATGCTGCAGAGGAAGAGATTGCGGAGTTACAAGTAGGTGCTCGATCTGATTAAAAGACAGAGGTGTTTGTGTCAGCAGGCATTAGTGTTATAATTGAGAAGGCAGGCAGCATTTCTGATGACTGCCTGTGAGTCTGAGAATGGCCTTGAATAAATACAGGTGCTGCAGACAAAGTACTCGGCAGCTGAAAGTTAGCCGAGTACAGATTACGAAAAGCACAATGGCACTTAGGATTTGTCCTGCTTTGAAAGCTAGTCAGGTTTTATCTAAGACCTGGTTATGTGTACACTTCTTAAATGGGGCTGCAGATTTAAAAGGTGTCTGTCTTAGGCCCTGCGTGCCCACTGCACACAGCCACAAGTGTGGATCCAACTGTTTGCAGGCTGCAAGGGGCACTGAATCAGAGAATTAATCTGGCTGAGAAATAACCCAGCTGGAAAAAAATGATTTTTTCAATGCATTTATCAAACAGTTGAGTTAGGAGGGTCGTACGGAGATGTAAGGAATCCAGAAAGAAGAAAGTTAAGGTTATTGAAACTGGCCCTGCCTGCTAGCAGAAATACGTACACCTTTAGATGCAGTTAGGTATGTTCCCCGAGGACTCCCGAGTTTGGCAGACTTCTCTGGAGAGGCTAGCTGTGAAAGAAGTTTTTGTTTCTATTGTTCTTCATGTTCCATATAGCTTTAATAAACAACATTTTCCTCATTTTAAATTTTTTTTTCTTTTGAAACTTCTAGGTGGTGAAAAAACTTTTAGGGCGTGCTCTTTTGCCATTATCTTTGAGAGATTTTCCTTGATAAGGAGGCAAAAGCTCAACTGACATGGACTAATAAGAATTACAGGCTTAATACTGTCTTACTTTAGAATCTATCCCTTATTCAGTGTGACAGAAGTAATCAATCACTAGTACACAACTAATTAGTGTCTCCTTATACAATAATATCTTAATTAGTGGTTTGGCTTTAACTGATTCTTTTAAAGCATTGTTTAGGTGTCTTTGTAATTGTCCAATGTTTGGTAAAGTGTTGTTTTTATATGTAAGGAAATACAGTAATTTATTTCACTAGGCTGCAAACACGAGTTTGTCTAGAAAGCTGGATGAAGCAAGAGAGCAGCTGTCTGAATCAGAGTTTGCTCGGCTGCAGAAGGAAGAGGAGGTGACGTCTCTGAGAGAACTCTTGGAAAGGTGGGAGTTTGGGTTATTTATGCAAGCCGTTAATTGTAAGCCAACCAAGGAGCCAATAACCAAAGCATATGAAAATTGCTGTGGTTTATGAAATAGCATATGCCACGGGGTTTATATAGGGCAAATAGTGCATGGGCACTGATGGGGAATATCAGACTGACACTTCAGATGAGAAATATGTAAATTACATGGCACACATGAATGCAAGGTTTAGGTTTTATTGTATTGTTAATTTAGCTGGTGACGTAAATTCATTGTTTGTCTTCCCTTATGAAACTGCAAGACATTTTACAACCTCCTTTTACCTTATAGGTTAGTCACAAAATTAAAGTACCAATATTGGCTCTTTTTTTTTCATAAGGAATGGAAAATTTGCATTTTTTGACAGTTTGGTTTTTCTCTCCTGTCCGTGAAGTTTCAGGGAATCAGTAAAAATTATTTGACTGGGACCACATCCTGCATAGCTTTGTCAGGTTTCTTATCAGTTTTAAGTATCTAACGCAAGCTATGTTTCTAAGGTCTGTAATGTGGGCCTGTGTGGTGTGGATTATCTGGCAGTCTGAAATAGACCTTCATGAGGCATGGGCTCACACAGAGTCTAATGGGTTAACCGAAGCCTATGTATTTTTACATTTTTGTGCTGATATCATCTATCTTTGTGGGAAGACTATGATTCTTGATCTATGCTGAAGGATGTCAGTACAAAATCTAACTCATCAAAATATTTAAATTCAGCTGAATTGGCTGAGTCACTTGAGACCAGCTCAGCCCTTGATGTTGTGTTGCTGTAGCATTTTTGATCCGTTGCTAGGACTCACAGTACTGAAATTACCATATTGTCAAGCCAAGACTTACATTCTTGGAAGCTTCCTGGGGATACTTCTTTCCACTGGCTGTGCAGTGAACTGAGGTGTCTTAACCTGGAAGTGTCTTAACACTGCCCATGGCAGGGGGGTTGGAACTA